GATTTTCTTCTGCCGGGCGCCTTTCTGGGTGAGCCACCTGAGAAGCAACAGGAGAAAGGTGGGCTTGTGCAGTTGTGTGGGTGCTGAGCCCACAGTGGGCCTGTCCTGTGGGAGGCAGGGTCTGGCTGAGAAGAGAGGGTTCTGGGTACAATATCTCCGGTTGCCACAAGAGGGCAGTGCTGACCTGGCTCAGGGCAGCCTGAACCCAGGGTGGCTCCCCCAGCTCTGCTGGGGAACCCTGACCCACACCCCTCATTTTTCTGTTTCTGTTAATGCTTGTGGAGCCCCCCAAGAAGATGCCAGCCCAGGCACCTCATCGTCACCAGAGGCTCACTCCAGCACTGCTGGCCTTTGCACAGGGCAGCTGTAGGTTCTGTGTCTCAGTGTCCCCAGCTGTAAAAGGCAAACTTTACAAAGGGCTTGGAAAGGACCAAATGAACTCATAACAAGCACGGTGCTTAGCATGGCACCTGGCATGCGACAGTGCCTCCCCTGAGGCTCAGGAGGGAGGTGGACACTCTGGCTGAGGTCTTCAGGAGGTTGGTGGGTGGAGGCAGGATTTGAACTGATTTGAACCCAGGACAGGGCTGCCGCAGCCACCCAGCGTGGTAGGATACACAGCAGGCGATTTTTTTTTTTTTTTTTTTTTTTGAGGCAGAGTGTTGCTTTGTTGCCCAGGCTGAACTGCATTGGCGTAATCTCCGCTCACTGCAAACTCTGCCTCCCGGTTCAAGCGATTCTCCTGCCTCAGCCTCTTGAGTAACTGGGATTACAGGTGCACCCCGCCATGCCTGGCTGGATTTTGTTTTTTTTATTTTAGTAGAGATGGGGTTCCACCATGTTGGCCAGGCTGGCCTTAAACTCCTGGCCTCAAGTGATCCATCCGCCCGCCTTGGCCACCCAAAATGCTGGGATTACAGGTGTGAGCCATCGCGCCCAGCCCAGCAGGAATTTTTGTAGAAAGCTCCCAGCTTTCCACAAAATGGAATGGGATAGGAGTGACGCTCCCATTGCACACATGTCTAAGCTGAGGCTGATCTATGGGAAAACTTTCTAGAGGCCCAGGAGGAACCGAGTTTTGGACCTGGTGGAGAGGAAGAGGGCTTGTGGACAGATAAGGCGTCTTGGGGCCCAGGAAGGGCCACTTGGTGTAGAGGGAGAGACTGAGACGCCTGGAGAGATCTCCAGGTGCCGCAGCAGTCATGGGGGAGGCGCCACTTACACGAGGTACTGGTCTCGGATCTTACGCAGCTGCATGAGGTCTGGCTTGAGGCTGTTCATGCGCTTGTCGATCTCCCGGTTGTCCGAGGCCTGGGCCCGCAGCTGCTGCTCCAGCTTCGTGCGGCTCTCGTGGATCTCGGCAATGCGGGACTTGAGCCGCTCAGAGTTAAGCAGGATCCTGTGGGAGGGGTGGGGTGGCGCAGAGGCCTCAGGGTTTTATCTCAGCTCACTGCACCCTCAAACTCCTGGGCTCAGGTGA